ACCTCAAACCCTAGCAATCAACCTGAGGAGGAAACTCCTGTTGATCCGACAGATGAGTCTGTACCTCTGAGGCGTTCCACGAGAGTTAGGAATGCACCTGAGCATTACTATGGTTTCCATAGTACTGCGGAAGGTGATACACTTATCAGTGATAGCACACTGGTAAGTCTGGATGAACCTAGCGGCTACACGGAAGCCATGGCAGGCCCTGAGGCTGCTAAATGGAAAGAGGCTATGGACAGCGAGATACAGTCCATGTATGACAATCAAGTTTGGAACTTGGTTGACAATGTACCAGTTCGTATGACGGTCGGGTGTAAATGGATCTTCAAGAAGAAGACCGACATGGATGGTAATGTACACACTTATATGGCGCGACTGTTTGCAAAGGGCTTTTCTCAAACTCCGGGAGTTGATTATGATGAGACCTTTTCACCAGTAGCGAATATTAAGTCTATTTGGGTTATGCTAGCCATTGTTGCATTTCATGACTATGAAATATGGCAAATGGATGTCAAAACCGCTTTCCTTAATGGGAAGTTGGCTGAGGATGTTTACATGAGTCAGCCAGAGGGTTTTGTCAGCACAGAGTACCCTAATAGAGTGTGTAAGCTTGAGAAATCCATATATGGATTGAAACAAGCACCTAGCAAATCGAATCTTTGTTTCGATGAGAAAGTCAAAGAGTTTGGTTTTTCGAGGAGCGAAGATGAGTCCTGTGTATATGTCAAGGCTAGTGGGAGTATTGTTAGCTTTTTGGTATTGTATGTCGATGACATACTACTCATAGGAATGACATCCCAACTCTGCAGGAAGTGAAGTCCTGGCTTGGGAAGTGTTTCGCTATGAAGGACCTTGGAGAAGCTGCCTATATCCTAGGGATAAGGATTTTGAGAGACAGGAGTAAGAGACTAATTGGACTTAGTCAGAGTACCTACTTGGATAAGGTGCTGAATAGGTTCAGCATGCAGAATTCCAAGACAGGAGAGTTACCGATCCAGAGTAACGCCATATTGAGTAAGACTTAGAGCTTGAGTACAGAGGCTGAGATAGCTGAGATGAGTCGAGTATCGTATGCTTCCGCTGTAGGCTCGATCATGTATGCTATGACTTGTACTCGTCCTGATGTGGCCTTTGCGTTGAGCATGGTCAGCAGATATCAGGGAACCCTGGCAAGGCTCACTGGACTGCGGTAAAGAACATTCTCAAATACCTGCGGAGGACTAAGGACTGGGTCCTTACCCTCGGTGGGAGTGATGACTTGAGAGTAGTAGGGTATAGTGATGCTAGCTTTCAGACTGATAGGGATAATTTCCGCTCTCAGTCAGACTGGGTCTTTACCTTAAACGGAGGAGCAATTTCTTGGAAAAGTTCCAAGCAGGAGACAGTGGCTGATTCAACTGGCGAATCAGAGTATATAGCGGAAAGCGAGGCAGCAAAGGAGGCTATATGGCTAAAGAACTTCATTGGAGACCTTGGGGTTGTACCAGCTATAAAGGAGCCTATGGAGATTTTCTGTGATAGTGAAAGTGCAGTTGCCTTAGCCAAGGAACCAAGGGATCACGGGAGATCCAGACACATCGACAGAAAATACCATTTCATCAGACATCGAATAGAAGAAGGACTCTTTGTGGCAAAGAGGGTATCATCGGATGAGAACCCAACAAATCCCCTCACGAAGGGACTGGGTAGGGTTAAGCATCTCCAGCATGCGAGGCGCATAGGGCTGAAGGATGATATTAGTTTTAGTAGTTAGATGGCTTTGAAATTTGTAAAGTGTAATTGACATTTGATGATAAATAAAAGTTGTTGTTTATTTATAAGTGTTGCTATCTTCTGTCAATCGTTTACTATTATTTCATTTTACATGTTTTAACTTCCAGAATAATTATGTTATGGTATATCATATTATTCAAATTCTCCACAGTCGGTCGCATGTTGGAAGTAGATATGAATCAAGACTGTCATGAGTTGGCTTGTAGATGTCTAAAATGTTGGACATAGCAAGAGTTGCTACAACACTCATGAGTGCTCATAAGTTCTGAGTATTGGAATCAGCCCACGCTCACTTGTATCACTTCATGGAATTTATCTCGAGTGATCGTGAGACGGTAATATCATATAAGTCTTCAAACCTAGAGATATGAGTTGTTGACTATGAGTTGGTTATACATTGATTGTACGAAAACGCATTGGTAACTCGATGTTATAAAACGTGCCTTTGTGTATAATTCAACAAGTAGTAGAACAAGCATATGAGTCGAAGTTTATATGTTCCTTCTTGGATTAGAAGCGATATCTGGGCCCCTCGATGATTTTGTTGTGACCTATGTACCGGGCCCGGTCAGAACTAAATTGATGTGTTCGATTAAGTTCTATGTCAAACAAATCGGAAATCGGGAAACAAACTGTTGGACAATAAGTAAGACATTGTTTCGTGTATTTGTCCGGCTGATATCCAGAATAGAGGATTATATGATCACTTATCTTAAATGGCGTATCATCATCATCTCAGTTCCGCGAGACCTTGAAAGAGCTACGATTGCTGATCGGTTCCTGAAGTCATACTTGCAGTTATAGTTATTAGACTTATCCAAGTGGGAGACTGCTGGATAAGGTGTCTAAGTCCATAACTATTTCTGGTATGTACTTGACCCGGTTAGCATGGTCCATTTGGGTTGCATGACATTGCAACACTTGGATAGACCAAATGAGAGAAAGGACACTTAAGGTTTATTAATATATTATATGTTCTAATATATTAATAATATTATTTAATTAGTATTGATCAAAAATTAATTTGGAATTAATTAAGTGATCAAAAAGAGACTAATTAAATATATGGGGTTGATTGTGTAAATCATCCAAATCTTATAAAGTGGGCTAATGATCCATGGTTTATTGAATTGGGCTAAAACCCATAAGGTGCTCCATGGATATTCCATGGAGGTTATAAACCCATGGATCATGGAATATGGAAAGCCATGTCAATTAGGGTTTACATGTTGTAACCCTACTTGTGACACAACTATAAAAGGACCCCATGACTAGCAAAATCGGCACTACAAAGTGAATAACTAGAGGGCTAGCCGATTTTGAGTGTTAGTGAACTTCTCTCAAGATTATTCCAAGCGTTGTGGTGTTGTGTGAGACATTTGAGGCATCACACTTGAGGTGCTAGGCTCACAAGGTTCTCAAGGAATCCAAGCAACAAAAAGGTATGTTCTTCTACTAGATTTTATGTTTCAAAGTTCCCCATGCCATGCTAGTTAGGTTAAGAACCTTGGAAAATCAAATTTGCATGTATCTTAGTAAAACATAGATCCAAGGTTTCTAGGGTTGCATGTACACCATAGGAGTGTTAGAATGCTCAAAACCCTTCACATACATGTTCAATTATATGGAAAATGGTACACTTTAAAAAGCTATGTCATTAGTTTTCGAATTGTATTTGTAGTGCATCAGAGATTTTGTTGAACCGAAGAAGTTTGTAGATATGGAATGTATAAAGGATGATCCCATATTGGACGAATTTGCCCCTGGTTGTCAAAGGATGTTGGCAATTTTTCTTAGGGACTTGGGGGAGGTATTAAATTTGTACTTCATGGTATTATTTATGTATGATTGTTAGTGTTAGATTGTTATTACTGTTCTTAGGAAACTAAGTTGGTGTTGGTTGGGGACATCATGGCTGTTTAGAAAGAGCAACATTGGTTTTATGTTGCATGTGGGAAATGTCATCGTAGTGTGGACTCGGATGTCAATGATAGTTTTAGCATTGATGAGATCAAGTCTTGAGAGTGTCCAAAGTGAAATATGTCTGGATTTGGTTATGAGTACATGTTACACTTCTCTTCTAATTTGTGGAATATGCTTGATTTTGTAATGAATAAACTAACGTAAAGTTGGTATTGCTTGTTGTTGATATGAGATTCAGGTATGGTTTAAAGACAATTTTGCTGTAGTGTTTATGTTTCTCTTTGATCAAGATGCATCAGGTCTGTTACGGAAAGTGAAAATGACATGGTCAATGGGTTTCCAAAATATGGGAATTAGATGCATTTTTTGTGAGTTGAATGTGATTGTGGTTCAATGGTATGAAATACGTGTTGAAGTAATTGATTTTAACTTGTGTAATAACCACCATATCTACACACTATCAAAATTCAATAATGATTCTTGGTTGTTAGTACATTTCCAGAGGCTTTGGAAGCATATGAGGTTGTAGACGTAAAAAACATGTTATTTTATTAAATAGGCATGTTATGTTACCTTGATTGAATGATGTTAGCATGGGTATCAAACAAGTTGTTATGAATGATATTGATGGTGGGGATGTCAGTATCACACCATTGATGTCTATGTGTAAAGTGTGTATTTTCTGGATGAATGTGTTGTTGATGCGCTATATTCTTGTAAGTTATTAATGAAAGTTACATAATATGTATTTGTAGCCCAGTATTTGATTGATGACGGCAGTTCCATCACAAGAGGAAAATGACATAATGGTGGTGATTCGGTAATAGAAATTGGATTGTCGGGTTATCCGTAGAAGTTAGCGATTCCAATGAAGGAGAATGTATAGGGTTGAAGATGAAACACTATTTACCCCATTTTTTACTTCATTTTTAGGGAAACTTGGATAGACCTAAAGGACATCTTCATCGGAAAATTGACCTTCCAAATCGTCGAACCATTTCCGCATTAAGATCGATGTGGTCGACATTCCAAATATGTTCCGTCAAGCCCCTACGAAGAACATGAAGCGGCTCAACATCATGAACTATTGCCCTCCTCGACATGTACTCCGCGCTTCGACATGTACTCCGCGCTTCCAACCTCAAAAGCGTGTGTCGGTGGAACGATCTCATTTTCCTTATACCCACATATTTCATTTCCTTCGTCTTCAAGAATCATATTATCCAATATGATACAAGTATACATCACCTCTCTCATTTTCTTCTCCTCCATATACGGTGCGGGATATTTAAGAATATATGTCAACGTTTTTTCAAAGCTCTAAATGCTCGTTCAACATCCTTTCTCGCCCGCTCTTGAGCTCTCTTAAACTTCAACCTTTTATGATAATTTGGACAAGACATTGACTTCACAAAACAAGCAAGCTCCGGATAGATCTCATCCACAAGATAATACTCGTTCCTATACGATATTTCAGCTACTTGAAAAGATGAGTCGGGTGCAGTCCCATTATACATGTCGTCAAGTAACGGAGACATGTTAAGAACATTAATGTCATTGAGGGAGCCAACTAAGCCAAAGAATGCATGCCATATCCACATATCCTATGAGGCCACCGCTTCAAGTATAACGGTTCGATAACCATGACCGCCTCGGGTGTATTGCCCTTTATGGACATTCGGACAACAACCCCATGCCCAGTGGAGGCAATCTAGGATTCCTAACATTCTAGGAAAGCCGTGCCGTTTGAGTGATGAGCATACAATTGTTGGATGTCACTACAAGTAGGTTTGTACAGATATCGTGGACCATATAATCTCATGAAATACTTGCAAAATTTGTGAAGGCTAGTTCGTGCAGTACATTCGGACATCCTAAGGTTCTCCTCTAGTGCATCGGGGAAAGTGGCGTATGTTAATTGACGAAGTGCAGCGGTGCATTTTTGTATAGGAGTAAAACCAACTGTACCTCTAGCATCTTGACATTGTTGAAAAAATGGACACGCTGCCGTGACTTCGTTGATTATACGCAAAAACAGAGATTTATGTATATAGAACTGGCAACGAAAATAATATCCTATAAAGTTGGCATCATCCACAAAGTAATCTTGCATGAGTCGTTCATTATCCGCCTCACGAAATCTTTATATTTATCTTCTCTTCCTCTGACGTGCATTCTCCGCATTTTGTTGTTGTAGTTGCTTGATCATTTGTTCCGCCTCCTGAATAACCTCTATGGTCGTTTCAAGCAAGGCATCAAACATGCCCAATGAAGATGACGAAGACGACATTTTGAGAGAGTGTATATGAGTTGTAAGTTGATGTTGATGAGTTAAAATGGTTTAAGGTTGTAGTATTTATAGAAGTTTAAAAAAAATAAATGGAAATAGTCGTTGTAGCTACCCCTATTCCCCATTGGTCCATTAAACTCGACATTAATTCACTGAGAAACCGAGCCAAGCTCAGCAAGTCGAGGGGTCGGCGCGGTGTGCGCCGAGGATGTCGAGCCCACACCTTCCAACCTTACAACTTATACCATTTTAAACACTAAATTTTTTAACTAATAATGAGTTAGCAATTCACTTACATTATGCTATAAAAATATACCTAACTTTGCCATCTAATAATGCCTTAATAAGAAAACAATTGTAAATAGGTCATAAACAAACAAAAGCATAAGACTATTACTCTATTATACGTGAAACCACTAGTACATTCAAACAAACAAACCCATGGTGTAGCATGGCCATTTTCTTTGTTGTTATAGATTATCATATAATAGTATTCTTGGTTAGGTAAAATGATGTTTCATTTAATAGGAAGGAATGATCAGTCGCAACAACATTATTAATAAAGCAGTTTCTGCATTCTAGAATTCATCACCGAACATGTTGTTTGCAACCTAAAAAAATAGGATAACTTGCATTCATGCTCAAAAATAAAATTATCTAAAAAAGGGAAAGTATTAGAAATATATTTGAAAGAACATTAAACCCTCATTTTCAATATTTTCTAAACGTGTGTGATGTCTAAAAGATAGTCTATAAAATAAACTTGAAATACAAGTCTAGTTTTAGATTTATAAAATCGAACAAATCAAACTGAGACTATCTACATCAACCAGTGCACTTGATCATGAATAACATAGCTTAGGTAAGTAAGGGTGTCAACAAATGGGAACCGAGACATACTACTATTATTAATCAATTTCAAAAGAAAGCATGTAAAAGAGATTTATGATAAGTGTCACTCAAATAAATAATCAAATAAAAAAGCATAGTTGACGGTTCAACTACTATTAAACATATGGGAAGGTACTTATATTTTGACTTAATTTGTAACACTCGATTCAAGATACTTTTCATTTTGACCCTTAGTTTGTAAATAGTTTTCAAATTTGGTCCCTAAGGGGCATTGTTGCCATTTTCGGAAAAATAGTACGTTGGGTGTACGCAATCAGGGGACAAACCCTAATTTTTAGGGTGTGGACCCTATTTAAGCAACATTATGACCCATGATCCTCTCATTTCCCAGTCTCCATTACCCTTTGAGCCTCATTCCGAAACCCTAACTCATCTAGAGAAAACTTGACCTCTTTATGTGTGTTTTAGTGTGTGTTGGTAAACCTTGAGGAAGAAGAAACTTGAAGAAGGATATTTGATAAAGGGACAACCTGTAGATCCATATTTCACTCATCATTTCCAGCTTCATTTAGGTATAAAGCTTGGAACTTGCTCATTGTATGCTTAGATCTAGTTATTATGGAGTTTTGTTCACTTTTTAGTCCAATAAATGACATCTAGTAGGATTCTTTCACTCCAAAAGTTAGAAGTTTCTTCTTTTGATGTTTCTGAGGTCCCTAGTCCAAAAATTTAGCATCTTGATGGATGAGGATCAACCATGCATGTGTTTATGTCCATTTGGTGGAAGTAGGATGCTGAATCTAGGGTTTGAGTTCACTTGAGCCATGCAAAGGCTCCAAGTTAGTAACGTTATGGATTAAGACATTCCCCAAGGCTTCGATCTGAAGTTTGGACGTCTGTTTGTAAGCATTAAGTGCTTAATGAAAAAAAGGATTAATGGTTGCGTACGCTGGGAGTACACAAGAGTAGTCGTTCAATTCCCCGATCAGGCAAGCCACCCAATACACCAGGCGTACTTCTGGTACGCATAGCATACTAGGCCTGGTCATGGGCTTTTGTGGTTTTGGCCATATTTGGGCTATTAGGTTTTTGGGCTTTGTTGGGTCACTAGCCTTTCTAACTTTGGGCCATTGTTAGGCTTTGGGCCTATATTGGGCTTTGGGTTTCCTTTAGGAAATTGGGCCACTATTGGGCTTTTAGTGCCATTGAGTTTGGGCCTCGATTATTGGGTCAAGTGATGGAAGGGTAAAATGGTCTTTTACCCTGGGTGTTGGACAAATGAACTAGATTCCCAGTTATGGTATATGGACCAATTATTAATTGGGGTTTTATTTGATTAGTTAGTGAGGGGATTCTCTGGCTCAGCAGCCCGATCATTTGTTTAACTGACAGCATACTGAGGTGAGTTTTCTCACTATACTGTAGGACACTAGGATATGTTATGTGCTTGTCGTCTTTGTGACTCCCTATGTATGTGTTGTATGCATATGTTCCTGTTTACTATATGTATGTAGGGTGAAATAGAATCGGGGGTGAAATAGACCCGGTACAGCCTTGTGCTGACATATGAGTTGAAATAGACTCAGGGGTGAAATAGACCCAGAGGTGAAATAGACCCCGTATGGCTTTAGGCTGACGCATGAGTTAAAATAGACTCGGGGGTGAAATAGACCCGGCACAACCTTGAGTTGGTAAATATGTATGGTATGTTGTATTTTGGGGAACTCACTAAGCTTCGTGCTTACGGTTTAAACGGTTTAAGTTTGTGATGTGTGTAAAGCCAACTAGTTTTAATCCTACTTTTCTAATGTAAATTTGACACATAATAGGCAGTGTACCTGTCAATTGGTGGTATAGTTTTTAGTAAGCAGGGTATCAAACTCAGGGAACAGTAAATTTTAAATTAACTACTAATACTATCTAAAAACAACTAATAAAAGAAGGGGTTTTCTCTAGTTTTGCAAGACTAGAAAACTTAAATATCTAACTAAAACTCAAACAAAACAAATAACAGCTAGAGAGTAAAAATCAACTAAATTCAATGGTAAAAAGGACTTCTGTTTAGGTTCGAATCAATGGATCCTATGGTTGATTTTATGGTAAATATATCGGATTAACTTTTCATTGGCTACCGATTGAGATGATTAGGTTCACGTTCGTTATTGCTAATCCTTAGAAAACAGATTAATTCAAGCAGTGGCCAGTTGTCTAAATTAATAAGTTCCCTAGTTAATTAATTCGGGTTAAGTAAGACTTGTATTGGTTAATTGAATTGGTGATTCAATTAACCTCTTGTTGATGGTGTATCACACAAGCTCACGTATTAACTTACCTATCTTCTAGTTAAATCTAGTTTCACATTCGTTATTCCTAGACATATAACTATGTGGTCCCATAAATCATATGAAATTGATAACTAAGAGATGTCCATACAACTTAATTACTGATTTATTAACAGAAAATAGTTGTTATTAATATTTGAGGTTCTTTAACAAGCTTAACAAAACAATATCACGAATTAAAATTAATCCTAACCATAAAATCACTCCATATTCACAAAATCATCTACCCTAAACAGAAGATAAAGGTTTTAGTTCATAATTGCAGTAAAAACAAACTCAAAAATGAATTCAATTAGTTCGAACATGATTCAATCAAAAGCTTAACTAAGAATGAATTAGAATTTGTCTTAATCCTCTTCAAAATCGAACTTAGGGTTGATTCCTCAGCTTCTCTCGGTCTAGCAGTACTTTCAATCGCAATCTGAGCCTCCTAGGGTTCCAGAGAAGTCCCCATCTCGATCTCAAAGTCCCTATTTATATTTTTCTGGAAACAGAGGTGACTCGTCGAGTCCCTCATTAAAAATTCGTGTACGGCAAGGACTTCTAGAGCTTCGCGAATCTTTGATCGAAATCGTCGAGTCAAGATTTGACTCGCCGAGTCCTTCTTGTTTTTGGCATTTTTCTTCTTTGCTTCAACTCCCGAACTTCCAACTGCTTCTCCTGCTTCCTTTTGCTTCCGAGCATATCTTTTGGACTGAAAATACAATTTGAACACTATTAAGTACCTTTTGTCCATAATGTGTAAATAATTAGCTAACAATTAATGAAAATCTATACTAAATATATAGTTAAATAAGCCCATATCAGTTTGTGTTTCAGGTACTTCCGGATCAAAGGGGAAGAGTTCGGGATGATTGCATCGCACATACCATGACTTTTCAAGTATTTAACTCTGATGTGTTTTGGATGATTATGAATACATTATGAATTCCCTTTGGTTTTGATAAACACGTTTGGTTGATGTTTTATTTAATATATAAAAAAATGGTTTTGAGTTTGGGACAATACAAGTTGGTATCAAAGCCTTGGTTTGAGAGATTCGGGCATACTCTCGGGTATGTCTGAACTCAAACTGAGGGTTCGGCAGATTTTTCATAAAAATAAATGTTTTATAAAA